GCTGGTTTTTGATCAATGATTCGCATTGTTGATGTTTCTCTCTCTCTCTCTCTCTCTCTCTCTCTCTCTCTCTCTCCCTCTCCCTTCCTCTCTGAAATCAATAAAAATATGTAAAAAAAAAAAAAAAGACTGGCTGGTTTTGCTGAAGGCTGGGCAGTAATGAGATGAGATCTAGAACCTAGGTAAGGAATATAAAAAAGGTAAAAAAGGCAAAGGATTTAGAAAAGATGAGTGCTTTAAACTTCTGAGCCCGTTATTACATTACAAACACTTAAGAGCAGGGGACATTCAATTTGGAAGCCCCTCATTCCCTGTCAAGAGGAGGCATGTGGTAAATATTGATTTGCTGTGTGATTAGAGGTAAGTCCCTTGCCTTTCTGTGTCAAGTTTCCCAGATTAAGAGGAATTGCTCTAGATAAATGCTAAATTCCTGTCTAGCTTTATTTTTTTTTTGGATACAATTTTAAATTTATTTGAGTTTCACAAAAGAAAAAGAAAGAGAAGAACTTTATAAATATTTCCTCTACACAAGAGATACTTCCCCTAAAATATCCCTTCAAGATTAAAAAAAAAAAAAAGAAAGAAAAAGAAACTGTGAGAACATTAAAGGTTGAAGTCATTATGATTTTTTTCCCAAGGACATATTTTCATTTTTGTTTGTATAGACCAGTGATGGTGAACCTATGACACGCGTGTCAGAGGTGACACGCGAACTCATTTTTTTTGGTTGATTTTTCTTTGTTAAATGGCATTTAAATATATAAAATAAATATCAAAAATATAAGTCTTTGTTTTACTATGGTTGCAAATAGCAAAAAATTTCTATATGTGACATGGTACCAGAGTTAAGTTAGGGTTTTTCAAAATGCTGACACGCCGAGCTCAAAAGGTTCGCCATCACTGGTATAGACTGACTTCTTACTGTGAAAGATGAGTTCGTTGGCCCTGCCACACTGGCATGAACACGCAGTTCTGAAAATACCGAAGCCCTTCTGTACCAGTTGGAAAATGTCAGCCACTGGACTCTCCCCAGGGCTCTCCCACCCTGCCCCATCCCACCACCAGGACCAACCCCAACCCCCACCTCCCCGGGACCCAGAGCTACTGGGGAAAGGGGACTCTGGTCCCATCTCCCAGTCCCTTCAACACCCACCACTTCGCCCCAAGCAGCTCAGTTTCCATCTGTTTTATATAATGGCTGCCAGGTAAGGCTTTGTTTGCAGAAAGTATTTAGTGTGAAAACCCCTGCTCAAGGTCAGCCCTCAGGCCCTTGCAAGTGTGCACAGTCCGGGATTTCCGAGAATGGAGGCCTTTCTCCCAAACACACTAGCTCCTAATGAAGTCAAGTGCACGTCTGCATCCTGGTGTAATTACCTTGCATCCAAATGGGCAACAGACACAGACCTGCGGGTATGGAGACATCCCTGAGCCGGCTCCAAACCAGATGAGGCAGAAGGTGCTGGAGCCCTGGCTCCAGTGGAGGCGGCAGGAAGGGAGTGGGCTTTGCTTCATGCCCAGCCCTGTGCCAGGTGCTCACGGTCCAGATCCTCTCCAATCCTATGAGACGTGTTTCTTTGCTCCCTTCCCTCCCTCCTTCCCTTCCTTCCGGATTTACTGAGCACTTGTCTGTGCCAGGGGCTGGGGTACAAACGCAAAGCTAGCATCCCCAAGACCTCACCGCCCCATGAGAGCATCATCCAGAAAACAGCTGTGACTGGGGTGTGTGCAGGATGCAGGGGGAGCCCCAAGTGACTCAGGGAAGGTTCTCCAGTGGAGTTAAAGCCGAGCTGGGATTTCAAGAATGAGAAGGGCATTCCAGGTGGAGGGAACTGCATGTGCGAAGGCAGGGAGGCAGGAAAGAGCCCGCCTGGTCTGGGAACTGTGGGATGGCATGGAGCCCAGGTCCAGGAAATCTGCTGGGTGAGGTTGGGGCCTCAGAACCCAGTACCTGGACCCTCTGCCTCCTTGACCTTTGCTCCCGGCTGCCTGGCCAGGAAGAGTCCCCTCACTCCCCAGCTTACCTGCACAAAAGAAGGCTTTGAAGCTGGAGAGAGGGAGTGAGGAAGAAGGGGCCAGCTGTTGTGTAACTTTGGATTGCTTTTCAGAAATCTCCTCCCCCCCCCCCCACCTCTTCCTTCTCCTCCTCCTCTTCCGATACCATGGGCAGCTGGGGTAGCCCCCTGTGAGCTGGGCTGAGTTGAGGGGGAGGTGGGGTGAGGCTAGGGACCTCTGCTCCCCCTCTCTGAGCCTCAGTTTTGGCATCTAGAATATGGGCACGACAACCCAGTTGCTGGCTCCTGTCAATCCAGGTGCTCCAGGAAGCGGAGCCCCAGGCTGGACTCCTTAGGGGGAAGACCTGGGAGGTAGGGGCGGGGCTGGGGAGTACCCTGCATCATCCTGCAGCGGGGGGCTCGGCAAGGGGAGGAGTCCCTGCCCTGGTGTGCTTACTGCACTGTCACTGCCGAGGAGCGGGAGACAGGGCTGAGGCAAGGACACAGGGATAAATCTCCCTATGATCCCCTGCAGGGAGAGGTCTATGGGGTCTCCCCTGCCAGAGCACAGGACTCTGCTGTCCCCAGAACCCGGTCAAAGCCCCAGAAGGAGGGGCAAGGAGCGGTGTATTTCCAGAGGCTGCTGCTCCGATGACTACAGACTGGCCTAAACAAACAGGAACATGTGCTCTCCCCGTTCTGGGGCCAGAATCTGAAACCAGGGTGTCTGGGCTGTGCTCCCTTCAAGGGCTCCAGGGGAGGGTCCTTCCTGCCTCTTCAGCCCCTGTCCAGCTTTGAGGTCCTGTGAGTCTGTGATTTTACAATCTCTAGCTTCTAGCCCAGGGGCTGAGCTGGATACGTGTCAAAATGTGAAAAGAAAACTTTGGAAGCTGCAAGGAATTTGCCTCAGAACCATCTTCAGTGCCCCCTAGTGGCCATTTCTGGGGAGCACAAGCAGAATCCTGGAATTGACCTTCAGGCTGAAACTGCCGCCCACCACCAGGGTCCAAAGGCAGAGGGTCTTCTGGAAAAGAAAGTTCCAGTTCCTTCTCCCAAGGTAACAACTCCCAACCCAAGGCAGTGTTCACAGCATTTCCCCAGGTCTCTCCACCCACAACTTAAAGTGGAGCTGGCCTCTGCTCTGCACAGGCAGCTGCTAGACATACATGGTGCTAGGCGAGGTGACCCCTCTAACATTTGGGGCCTGGTTATGCTCTTCCTTAGGCAGAGATGGTGGAGTGCCCTCGTGCACAGGTGTTCAACCTTCAAAAGTTAATACTGAGCACTGGCTGGTTTGGCTCTGTGGATAGAGCGTTGGCCTGCGGACTGAGGGGTCCCAGGTTCGATTCCGGTCAAGGGCATGTACCGTGGTTGCGGGCACATCCCCTGTGGGGGGTGTGCAGGAGGCAGCTGATCGATGTTTCTCTCTCATCAATGTTTCTAACTCTCTATCCCTCTCCCTTCTTCTCTTTAAAAAATCAATAAAATATATTTAAAAAAATTAATACTGAAAATAATGGCCTACGTTTGTGGGGTGACCTAGGTTAAAATCAGGACTTAGCCTGGAGCCAGAGGCTGAGGGTCACGGCTAGCCTGGCTGGGGCTGGGATGGGGCGGAGACTCATCACAATACAGGCCTTTCCTCTGTCCTAAAGGAAGTGTCTGTCCTCTGACCTTGGCTCTGTGGCCCGGGGCCTGCCTGGTGCTACAGAATTCAGTCTCTGTGGGCTTTCCCAAGGCACCTCCTTTCTCCACCCTGCTCTCCTGCCCACCTAGACACTCTGGAGAAGCCAGCTCCCCACCTTTCCAAGCGAAGCCCCATTGCAGATCTCTGGACACCTCTCTACCGCCACCTTTCCATCGTTCAAGTCAGCAATGCTGGCTCCTCTGTTGGCATTTACTGTTCTGCCCTTCAACTTCTTCTTGGCAAATTTCCAGTCACCTTTTGCATCCCGGCTCAGGTATCAGGGTTCCAGTTCAATGAGGCACCCCAGGCTGGGGTAGGGGCATCTTGTCACAGGTCTGACCACCCTGCCTATCCTCAGCTATTTCCAATGTTCGCTTCTGCTCCCAAGGAGCCCACTCACAGCTTCTGAAACAGCAGTCCCTGGGGTGGATGCATGGTGAGGACAGGCACCTAGGCAGTCCGGAAGTTGGAATGAGGTCCTTTAGTCTCAGCTGGGAAGGGTTTCCCAGGTGCTTAGCACTCACTGAACTGAATGGAATCAGAACAGAAAGATGGCATCTTATAAGACCCGGATGTGGCATGAAATCACTAGAGTGACAGCAGCCAGAGGTCTTCCCCTTTGTGGTATAACTTAGGCCAGGGGCAAGGGACACCGTGTGAGCAATCCCTGAGGACCTTTCCAGCTCAGCCTTGCCAGGACCTTGCGGCTGGACAGCAGCCCTTTAGCAGGTGTGGTAGGAGGCTGTGAGGGGGCTCCAAGCCCCCCGACATCCCGGTATTCACTCCGTCTGTAATCTTCGTGAGTGTGACCTGGGCCTCAAGATTTGTATCTAATGAAGAGAATATGGCAAAAGTGACAGGTGATCACTTCCGAGATCAGCTTATAAAAGACTGTGACTTCTGCCTGTACTCTTCTCTGGCTGATGGAGGCAGCTGCCATGCTCTGAGATATTCTATGGAAAGGCCCATATGGCGAGGAACTGAGAATGGCCTAAGAGCCGGTGAGGAAGTGAATTCTGCCAACAACCACGTGAATGACCTTCAAAGTGGACCCTCCCGGCTGACACCCTGGCTGCAGCCTTGCGAGAGGCCCTGATGCAGAGGGCCCAGCTAAGCCAGACCTCGACGACAGGCCCGCAGAAGCTGTGGACAGTGTTGTTTGAAGCCACTAAGTGTTGGACTAATTTGTTACACGGCAACAGATAATTAATACACCACACAGGGCCATGTGGGCCAAAGGAGCGCGGGGAAGGGGCCATGGCAGGGAGCTACAGTCTCCCCAAGTGTCAGGGGCAAGATGCAGATGTTGCCCCAGCAAGAACTCAGAGGACGCTCATTTTTATTTATCTGTTTAGGAATATACAAAAGTCTGACATGGTACAATGGTCTCATCAAGAGAAAACAGAACACACAGAAGAAAGGCGGGGTTTCCTCCCTGGCCCCCATCCTCCTAAAAGGCACACACATCTGACGCGTGGGTTCGGGGGGCTCCTATCCAGAAACCAATCTGATGCTCAGAAGGCCAGGCTCCTCTGTGAACAGGAAGAGGGGCCCCGTCCTCACACCTCCCCTTGGGGGTGTGGGGTTAAGCAAAACGAGGCCACCGGAAAGTATGGGCTTCCGGCCAAGGCCTGGTCAGTGCTGGGTCCACGTCACCAGCCCCCTGAGGAAAACCAGTCACTCCAAGCAGAACGTGGTAGCTGGATAATCCAAGAGACGGTATGCCTGGGCTAGCCCTGCTCTCGGCACAGGCTCATCACCACCCCCACCGTCTCTGCGGAGGCCGGTCCAGGCTCAGGGTGAAAGACTGGGGACGTGGCAGAGAGGAGAATCGCTGGAACGGTCCAGATGCCCATCACTGCTCTCTTCAAAACGGGGACAACTGTGCCTTCGAGGCTTCCCCTCGGCCAGAGGGACCAGTCCTGCCGTCAAGTCAAGGCAGCTGGGACTAGAGGTGTTTGTGTCAGGAGCGGCTTCTGCTCCTCAGCCTCCAGGGGCAAAGAGCAAGTCGTCTAACTGGCCCGGGTCACGCACGGCGGTCCTTCTTCCCCAGCCAGCCAGGCCCGCGCCTTCTCTGTAACTTCAGGAATGGAAGAAGAGGGGCTGGTTGGGAAATGCTAAAGGCCCCGAGGTGTTCGCCACCACCGAGAACAGCACACACTGGAAGGGAACAGGCCTGAAATGTTCAAGCGTTGCCCTTCCTAAAAAAGACCTAACATTTTCATGGTTTAACAAAATTATTATAATTTCTTTTAAATAACCCACAGACACCCATGACACTTCCAAATTTACAGAACAAAAAGCACTCGAGAACTTGGCGGAAAACGGCTTGCAGCGGAGCGGGGTCCTCCCGGCACCGGGCTGAGGGCTGGCTCAGTTCACCTCCAGGACCTCGGTCTCCGGGAGGCCGAAGCTGGTCTTGTGCTTGTCGAAGAGCTTCACCAGGGCCTCCATGTACATGGCGTGGTACAGGTCGATGTCCTGCTGGGTCGGGTGCTCCAGCTTGGGAATGGTGATGGGCTCACCCACTGCAGGGAAGGGGCAGAGGCCTCTGGTTAGTCCGTGCCATTTGGCCCACCCTCCCTGGGTGTTTACCCTGATGTTGATGGCAGTGACCCCGTGCTACGTGCCGACCACGTGCCAGGAACTGTGCTGAATGTGTTCTGCCTTAGGTTGTCCTTTTACAGATGAGAGGACGAAGGCCCGGGGGCACGGGAAGGGGCCTGCCCAAGGCCACAGAGCCACGAGGCAGGAAGGGGGAGGAAGCCCGGCTGCACCCCCTGCCCTCAGCTGGGAGCTCCTGTGAGGGCTGTGGGAACGGGGAACTGCTTTGCTGTGGCCCAGCCCTGGGCAAGTGACTTTGCCTCTCGGAGCCTCAGCTTCCTCACCTATCACACAGGGCTCCTGCCGCAGGGGGCTTTGCTGAGGATTCTGTGAATCATGACATGGTCTGAGAAGTGTGGTAAGTGCGGCAGAGGGAGAGGGCAACATTCATACTTCTGGGCATTGTTTTCTTTCCTAATCCTGTTTCATCTCCATACCCAACTCATCACCAAGTTCTGTCAAAGACATTTCTGGAATTTCTTCCAAGTTCTCTCCCATCTCCACTGCCATTCCCTCTATCCAAGTCACCGGCTACCCAAAAGCCTCTGGCGTGGTCTTGTGGCTTCCAATTTTACCCTTTCTAATCCGTTTTCTATCCAGAAGCCCCAAGGATCTCTTTAAAATGTAAATCCGAACCTTCCCTCCCCAAAACTATATATATATATCCGAGGCTGAAGTCATGTTTATTAGGAAAAAGGGGCATGTGATGACCACTAACGAATATCTATTGGGAAGGAGGGTGCAGGGAGTGGTTCCTAACACGCCCCAGGGACTCATTCCTGGATGTAGAGGGTGCTGGGAGCAGTATGATCATCTCCTGGCGTCTCCCCACCACCACAGGCCTGGGGGAGCCAAGCAGATGGAAGGTGAGGGTGGGGTCTCTCAGTTCCTGGAGCAGCTGGTCAGGGCCTAGAGCCCACACCTGCACTCCATGCTTTCAGAAGGCCTGGAGCTGCCCCCCGACCATCACCACAGCCTCCACAGCTTCCATCATGGGGATCTCTGGAGTTCAAAGCCCCCAAACTGAGGCCCCCCCTCTGGAGTCACCAGCTTCAGAGACCTGTCCATCAATACCATAACCTTGTCTTCCTCTACGTGGGTCACCTGTACTGGTCCTCTGTGCTCTGTTTGAGAGGACGAGGTTCACAGACAAATTCTGTAGCTCTCTGCCTTTCTCCTTAACACCTTCTCCAATCCCAAGCAAGTCGGCTAAACCACACTCACCATAGTGGTCCCAGCTTTCCACTATTAAAGTGAAAACCAAATTCCTTCACGATGCCCACAGGACCCCATCCCTGGCCAGCCACCCCAAGCATGAAAACGTCTCTGCTGCCTCACAGAGAGCAGAGATGGATGGGAGAGTCTAGGTCACATGACCCGAAATGCAGGAAGTCAGTCTCCGTGTAAAGTACAAAACAGCATACCCGGCTCTGATCATTCAGAGTATCTATGTGAGCTTTGGCCCCTCAAGTCCATAGCCTGTGGCCCACACGCTCCTGTGTGATCTCCAGCTTGTGAACCATTAACACACACACAACCCCCTACAAGAGATAATTCTTTGGAATCCTCTACACGATCCCAAATAAACCCAGAACAACATAGCTGAAGGCCAAGGGCAGCCAGTTTTTTGCAACACTTTTCACAGGACTATGCTCTCCAGTCATGTTTTCTTTCTGTTCCTCAAAACTCTACACAGTCTTGCTTTGGGAACTTCACTTAGGCTATTGTTTCTGACAAAAACTCCCTCCTCCCACCTCTTTTGCTGGATAATTCTTATTCAGCTAACAGTCTAAGAGTCACCTCCTCCCTGGGGTCCACTATGATCCCCCGAGCATGCCGCACATCCCGCTCATAGCCCCTGTTGATCTTTGCTCTAATAGGATCTTCCCTGATAGACTGCTGGGCTCTGCAAACACAGAACTGCTGGGTCTTGTTTTGTCAGCACAGCTTGGCTCACAGTAATAAAACTCTACCCCATCACCCCACCCCCATCTCCACCAATAATCCCCCTATGGCAGCACCCACATGTCCTCCTGGTTTAGAGCATGGACATCAGAGCCAGGTGGCCTGGATTTGAATCCAACTCCACCACTAACTCGCTGTGGCCCCCCAAGTTCAGGGTCTTCAAGTAGGGAGGCTCACCGACAGTGGTGATGGGCTTGGAGTAGGGCACCAGCCCCCAGGTGTCAGAGGAGAAGAGGCCTCGGCCGTGGAAGATGCACGGGGCGAAGCCAATGTACTTCTGGAACTTCTTCTGGACCCATCGGCCCCAGGAGCCCTCCTCAAAGATCACTTGCTTGTAGACCTCATTCTCTCCGAACGAGTAGGTGGGAACCAGGTCAGCTCTGGAAGGGAGAGGCCAGGCCTGTCACTCCCCAGTCACTGGCTTCAGTTCCTCCTGTCAGCCCTAGAGGCCCTGGACACTAGCCAAGCTCCCCTCCCCCAGGGCTGTGCCAGAACCCCCGGGGGGTCCCCAACGTGTGTCCCCTCACTACCAGGTTCAGATGGGCCCTCTGCTCCCTGCTAGTGACTGGGGAGCATGTCAGAACTTTGGGAGCACTGGGCAAAGGGAAGGCGGAGGGCCCTGCTCTAGCAGGCCTGGTCTCTCTCATCCTCCAGGCCTGCCTCTGCTGGAAAGCTCTCCCTGTCCCACACCCAACCAAGGTCTCTCTCAGTTCCATGTCACAGGCCTCAACACACCGTGTTGTCGCTGTCTGTCCCTTCATACTTCCCCCTGCCCTGAACACATGGACTGGGTCTGAATGGTCGTGTGCCCAGGGCCTGGCACAGGCTGGGCCTGAAGAGTAGCCTCTTCTAGAGCCTGGGGTAAGGTCCTGAGAGGACAGAGAGGAGTGGTGGGTGGGGCCCAAATGGTTAGCGCCATCCCTAACTTGTGGTTGACTGCAGGCTACATCCTCTCCCACTCCAGGTCTGCCATCGCTGGAGGTCTGTCACCTCAAAGCCCTCCTCCTGGGGTTGCCCAGAGCACAGAGATGGGAAGAAAACAGTGGACCTGGAGTCCAGAGAGCTTAGCACTGCATTTTACAACGTGACCCCCCACTGGGCCACTTAGCCTCACTCGGTTTCCTCAGGTGGGAAATAGGACGTCACCACCGGCAGGGTTGCTGTGGCATCCAAGGGGACTGAGAAGTGAATGTGCTCTGTCCAGTGACATGTGCTGAACAGGTGGCTACATAGAATGTGCCTCTGGTTTTCTAGAAAAGGTCACAGACACCCAAGCTGCCCAGCTCCTGTCCACCTGCCCTTAGCATCACCCCTCCGGGGAGCCTCGCTGCTGTTTCCAACCACGCCACCCTCATTTCTGTTAGCAGCAGGACACAGTTTTGGCCCCAGGGCATTGTCCTATGTATGATCCTGGCCTCTCAGCCCACCTGCGAGGGCTCAGGGGACACAGGCCGCACCTCTGCCCTACTCAGATGCCAAGGCTATTCTTGGACAACTTGGCCTGAAACTCTGGGCTCCACTCTCCCCTCCCCCGCCACAGAACAGTGAACGCTCTTCTGTGCCTTCCTGGCGTCTGGGCCTCCAGGAGCCAAGGAGCTGCTGACAGTGTGTACGTTGCGTGTTTGTGTGTGTGCACGGAGGCACTCACCCATGTCGCAGGGCCAGCTTCACAAAGCCCTTGCGGTTGCGCAGGGTGACCGCATTCTTGCCGGGCATGGAGCTCAGAGACTCCGCTGCGCCCCCCACTACGATGATGATGGCATTGCCACTCCCGTTCTTTGAAAGCAAGTAGTCTATGGTGTCCCGGTTCACAGGGCAGATGCCTGGGAGGAGGGAAGACACACCGTCAGGGCTCCCCATGTCTCCCACCACACAGTCATGTTTAAGCAGGCTTGGGCCCCAGACCTAACCCTTTCTCTTCGAAGTTGCACCCCATAGTTGGCCCTATGTAAGCTACTCTTTTTCTGAGCCTTGGCTTACTTATCTGTAAAATGGGGATAACGATACAAGGTTGTTTAGGTAATTCATTCATCTGGCAAATACTGCCTGAGGTCTTAAGTCTGCCAGGCGGATGCCAGGTGCTGGGAAGCCCAGTGAATCAGGCTGCTGGGGGTCACGGTGGTCGGGGGAACAATGACAGTGCCATGGACAACAATCGGGTTGTGCAGAGGGCAGCACGGGGCTGGGGTACCCAGAAAAGGGGCCAGAGAAGGCTTCCTAGGGAAGATGCTACCCACGTTGAAGGTTGAAGACTTAGGCACAGCTCTCCTGCTCAGCCTTGACCCGCAATGCCTGCAGCAGGCTGCGTCGCTCAGCACGGGACCAGTGTGGGGTATTGGCTTCCTGGCCAACCTGTCCTCTGGCTCAGTGGAGAGGCTCAGGTCTTGACAGTGGGGCACAGTAAGGACAAGCAGCCCTGGAGTCTCACCTCCGGACATCAGGTACTCCCTCAGCACTGGCATCCGGAAGTTGCCGGCCAGCGTGGCCAGGTAGGGCCTTATGCCGGGGAACTTCTTGCTCACTTCCGTGGCCTCTGTGCTGAAGTTGCAGAAGGCACCCAGACCCATGATGCCGTGGGGGTGGTAGCCAAAGATGTAGTTCCTGGTGGTCAGCAGGTTGTGAGTCTTCACCAGCTGCAGGGGAAAAAAGCTTGGGTGAGAGGAAACTGGCCAGGGGGCGGGGTCCTGAGCACACCCAGAAGGTCCAGGAGAGGCTGGCTTTGCCATACCCCCTGGGACTCTGGGCCTCAAGGACTGGAGTGACTCTCCACACCTGACCTCAGACTCCTCATCACTGGGCCACAGTGCCAGGGGCTCGTCAGCTGCCATTTGGACAGCAAGTCCCCGGGAGGGGGAAGGGAAATTTCCCCTTTGACCCCTTTATTTCTCCAGCCAAATGCACCAGGTCCTCTTATTCGCACTCAGCTAGCCTCCTGTCTCCCTTCCCCCTGGGCCAGCCTCCTGACCACAGCAGAATGACTATTCTACAACCCAATGCAATCCCTGTACCTCTCTAGTTCCCACTGGGGTCAAGTCCAAGTCCTAGTCTGGCCGGAGAAGAGAGAGTGCAGCCTGCCTGAATGGAAACTCCCTTCCAGGCAGCCAGGTTCTACTTGGGCTCTGATGCCAGAAGGACAAGGACAAGAACAGCTCTTGTGCCAGCCACAGTGTGTGTGTGTGGGGGGGGGGGGGGGCGAGTAAGGGAGGGGCAGCTGTGCAGTAGGGCAGCTGACCTGTGGTACTTTCAACAAACCTGTCCTGGGATGCTCTAAGGCAGTGAGGGCGAACCTATGACACGCGTGTCAGAGGTGACACTCGAACTCATTTTTTTGGTTGATTTTTCTTTGTTAAATGGCATTTAAATATATAAAATAAATATCAAAAATATAAGTCTTTGTTTTACTATGGTTGCAAAGAGCAAAAAATTTCTATATGTGACACGGCACCAGAGTTAAGTTAGGGTTTTTCAAAATGCTGACACGCCGAGCTCAAAAGGTTCGCCATCACTGCTCTAAGGAATGATTGGCTTCCCCAGGGGCCACCTCCTGCCCTGCAGGGTGGGGTGGCTGGTGCAAAGTTTCCCTAAACCCTGAGCAACAAGAGGCACCTACCTAGCATTACAACAAACATAATGGAGGGAAGGTGCAGAGAGGGGTGGAGAGTACTGGTATTTTGTTCAGAAAGCATCGCTTTTTTTCTGATTAGAAAAATAATGAGTATCACAGAGAATTTTCAAAATACAGAAAATTCAAAAAAAAAGAAAAGAAATCAAAAGCACCTGTCATACCTCCATCCAGCTAAATCACTCTGTGTTGAGTCCTTTTACTACTCAAACATACACATACTTTTTTAAAAAATCACAAAATTGAGATTATACGGTTGGTGTCATTTTTATATAATTTCCAACCAAGTATTATCATGCCCTATCTATTTTTCCTTATCAAATTTCCTCAGTAACATATCTTCTCATGGCTGTATTATTCTATCATGCAGCTATGCTACATGTAATGGAACTATAACCAAACCCCTACTGATGGACCTTTAAAAAGCTTCCAAAACTTCCCTCAGAAATAATGCTTCCATATGGAACAGAGTGTGGATTCTCAAAGGGAAGGCGGGGGAGGGTGGGTGGGAGGGAGATAATCAACCAAAGACCTTGAATGCATAACCCATGGACACAGACAATAGGGTGCTGAAGGCCTGGGGTGGCAGGGATGGGGGGGGGCTGGGGGGGTTAATGGGGGGGGGAAGGGAGACATATGTAACACTTTCAATATAAAGAATTATTTAAAAAAGAAAAAACAATGCTTCCATGAATACCTTATTTATATCTACATGTCTGATTATCATTTTTAAAAATGTGTTTTTAGTCAGGGGCAGGCAAGAAGGGGTTAACAGGGAAAAAAGGGGACATATGTAATACTTTCAACAATAAAGATTTCTTTACAGCCCTAACCAGTTTGGCTCAGTGGATAGAGCGTCGGCCTGGGGACTCAAGGGTCCCAGGTTCGATTCCGGTCAAGGGCATGTACCTTGGTTGCGGGCACATCCCCAGTAGGGAGTGTGCAGGAGGCAGCTGATCGATGTTTCTCTCTCATTGATGTTTCTAACTCTCTATTCCTCTCCCTTCTTCTCTGTAAAAAATCAATAAAATATATATTTTTTAAAAAAGATTTTTTACAAAATATATGTTTTTATTGATTTCAGAGAGAGGAAGGGAGAGGGTTAGAAACATCTAACCGGGAACTGAACCAGCAACCTCCTGGTGCAGGGGCTGACACTCAACCACAGAGCCACACAGGCTGGGCTGATTATTTTCCTGAGACAAACTTTAATGAAACCAATCAGCTGTGCTTTTCCGGGGCCTGGGTTGTGGATGTGTCACCTGGTGGCTCTTTCAATCATTTTCCCCGTCTCCCAAGCCTCTGCCTGGTGGGGCATTTGGTGAAATGCGGTGCCTTGGAGCACTGTGCAGTACCCAGGAGCATGCAGGCACCTGGCACAGCTTTGATCTCAGTGTGCCACACTCTCCGCCCCTCAGGGCTGGACAGAGTGTCCATCCTGCAGAGAGGACACTGCTGATAAAGGCTCTGTTGACATGCCTGCTCTTGTGTCCCCTGACTGTTTCCTAGGACAAAGTCTCAGTTCCAGGGGGTGGCCAGGCCAGGCTACTGGCTCATGTGAGCCTGGAACACATTCCTGGCAGTCACTCCTCACACCCTGCCAGTCAGGGCAGGAAAGGCACTCAGATAGGCTTGTGTCACCCTGGTACCATACAGAGGGCACCTCGGCACCAGAGAAGAGCAGAGATGTGCCTGAGCTCACACGGCAGGGCGCGGTGGCAGAGAAACCCAGGACTGAGAACCTGGGTCCTGAAGCAGACGGCCTTGGTTCCTATACCAGCCCTGATACTGACGCGCTTTGTGAACTTGGGGCAGTCCCTCTTCTCTGGGCCTCAGTAGGCCCATCTGTGAACTGAGGCAGATGGACAAACAGAGGATCCTAAGCTCAGAGCCTGGCCCCTTAGGTGAGGGCCCCAGTAGAGAGCACAGAGTCCACAGTTCCTCACAATTAACCATAATTTACCACTTTTTATCATAGGTGCAGCTCCGTTTGCACATGAGACTAATGAGGCTCAGTGAGCTTGATAAAGTGTGCCTCTGGTCCCATGAACCGAAAGTGACAAAGTCTAGCAGGACCCATTAGACGGTGAGCTCACCTGAGGGCAGGGGCCAGGGCTGACTCTTCTGTGTCCCCAAGCCCAGCACTGTGCGGGGAGCAACAACTGATGCTCAGTGAATGGAGTGACAGAGCAAGAACTCAACCCAGGTCTCCAACGGCAAAGCAGAGAGAGGGAGACCCGGGAAGTGGGGCTCAATCCAATGGGGAGATCCGGGACTGAATCTCTCCCAGAGAAACAAGCAGTAGGAATTGAGTGGGAAATAACCTAGAGCCTGGATTCTAGTACTAATGCTGGGTGGACTCGCTGTGCAACCTGGACCAGTCCTTGCCCCTCTTTGGGACTATTTCCTCACCTCCAAAATGATGCAACATTCTCCTATGATGCAACAGTCTCCTAGCAACAACAGCCTTGAATCCTCAGGAAAAGGGAGGAGTGAGAACCCTGACGCTGAAGTTTCTGGTAAAAGTGGGTTCAGGATGGGTAGGCAGAAGGAGCTGGCCCCAGGGGACCCCCCCCCACAAACACACACACAATATTGGGTGCAGTGGAGGAATGTGGGGGTCAACCAGCCACCTCCCCCAGGCAGCAAGCAGGACGTCTCAGTCACTGACTCACGACAGCAAACACACACCGCCCTGTGACATGCACACTTTCACACTCACACACGCTGCCACCACGCTTCCAACCCCATTGCTCTCTGCTGGGTTACCTCAGCAGCTAGGGTGTGCCGGGGCCGGGGTGCTGAGTGAGCTGGCCAGACAGGTCTTTCCCCTGCAGGAAAAACCTTCAGGATTCTGCCAGACTTACCCACAATCCACCAGTCACCCAAATGCACCAGGGCCCAGATGCCTCTGCCTTGCCAAGCTAGCTTGCAGCCCACAGGCAGGGGGACAGAGATGAGGCTGACAGCCAGGCCGTGCCACTATTTATTCTGCCAGGACCTGGAGGTTGGCCCCAGAGAAGAGAAGACAGGCGCTCAGAAGACCAGTGTGGAGGTCCCAGAGCAGCTAATGGTGCAGCAGGCAGGAAACCCAGAGACCAATTTGGTCTAAACTTGCTTCATAAGGGGAGACTGAACCCTGCAAGGGACGGTGCCTCATGCAGGGTCAGTCTGGGCCTTCCTGCCTCTGTCCCCCAATACTGCAGGAGGCCTGAGTGTCTGCCCAGCTTTATTCCCCACGGCCCTGCTGCACAGGGAGGCAGTGTGCTGTGGTGGCAGGAGCCCAGACTTCGAGGCCAGATAGCAATTAGAATCTTGGCTCCACCCCTCACTAGCCTCAGTCAGCGTTGCTACTCTGACCTTCAGTTTCCTTTTTTTGTAAAAAAAGGATAAAGTTAGTGCCCCTTATAGAGTGCCAGGCGGGTTAAAGTAGACTCCTCATGGTGGGGGAGGGGGGAGGTGCTGGCTCCTAGAAGTCTCCCCATAGATGGAGGTCCTCCCTCTCCACGCCACAGGCTTCTCCTCCAACGTGGGTGCCTACGCTCTCATGGTCCCTGCCTCTTCAGTGCTGCTTGTCTTTGGGATGGAGTTGTAGGGGCAGCTTCTCCAGGAGCCTTCCCCAGGCACTTCAGCAACTAGGGTCTCACTCTCCTTTCACTGCACTTCTCATTTCCTGGGCCTTAATTCCCATGGCCATGACCCCCAGTGACCCACCTGGGACTGGCTGAGAGAAATGCTGTTTCCATAGGAGTTTCCCAAAGAAAGCACGCCCCTCACACCTATTGTTATCCTTGGTTCAGTGCTATCCTTGGTTCAGGCCAGATGAACTTGGACTACACTTAAGTATTGCTCTTGATAAATGCCCTCACATTTAAAAAAATACATATCTCTTTATTGATTTCAGAGAGGAAGGGAGAAGGAGAGATAGAAACATCAATGATGAGAGAGAATCATTGATCGGCTGCCTCCTGCACACCCCCTACTGTGGATCGAGCCCGCAACCCAGGCATGTGCCCTTGGCCGGAATTGAACCTGGGACCCTTCAGTCTGCAGGCTGACACTCTATCCACTGAGCCAAGCTGGCCAGGGCATATGCCCTCACATTTTAAGTTATGCCTTTAATATTCACAGAGAGGCAGACAAACAACGACCATAATATCTGCTATTTCACCTGCTCCTTATGTCACTCAGGATCTCAGTGTCTGAAACATCTTTTAGATCCAAGTACCAGAACAAGTCTTATTTACCCAAGGGACTAGTAAGCTTCTTCTTTCCCAAAAACAAGAGCCAACAACTATCATGTTTCCCCTTTTGCCTTGGTTGCCAGGAAGCTCAGAGCTAATGATGAAGTTCAACCACCATAACTTTGTTGACCATTATGGCTGAAATAATAAAATAATGAAAATTTTTTTCATTATTTTTCCCCCCAAGTCTTGATTTTTCTATTTACTTGGTATGACATTATATGCCTCCTAAATTGCTCAAATCCTGCATAAATCGGGGAAGAGTATAAACAGACGCTCGTAGTGGGAGATGTCACATGGTTCACCTCAGCATGTGTGGTCACTGTGGATGGGTAGGTTAAGGCTAGAATTCACATTTCCCACCCAATCCCACCCTCCCAAGATAATACCCCAAAATCTTTACCTGGATGGGAAAGTAGTCTCGAAAGTAGCGCCACACAGCCCAATTTCGGACCCACTGTGACCTCCTGCCACCTTCCAGAGAACAAAATACAGTGTTGGGAAGGTGTGGGAATCAGGGAGGGTGATGTTTGGGCAAGAAGACAAGACACAGCCAGTGCGAAACACAGTGGGTGACTATCCCCCGCCCCCATGCAGCATCTTTTCCTCCTCCCCCCTTCCCGCTGGGCCCCTTGCCACGCTCATTCCCTCGTATTATGCACACCCTTGATTGAGCGTGAGCTCCTATGAGGACCAGGATGGCTCCTTTGAAGCGCTTTTAACCCCTCCCTCCACCCACTCCCTGGCCTAGCCCGGTGTGTTTTACACAGTAGATGTTAAGTGAAAAGAGGCAACACCCACAGTGAGGAACCCCAGCTTGTGCAAGAGGGGGGCTCCTAGGGCGAGGGTGTGGGGCAAGGAGACCCAGGCCCTTACCTTTCTTGGGCGTGTTCCAGTCAAACACCAGCCAGGTGAAGTAGAGCACAGCGATGAGCCAGCAGTCGGTGCAGAACGTGTACATGAGGATGACGGTGCAGGCCACTCCTGGTGGGCAGGCAGATGGCCACAGGTTAGGCCCTGTCCTCCCTGGGTGGGCCTCCGTCTCCCCTGGGCAAAGGCTCACTGAGCGACTGAATGAACGTTTACCATGGTGCTAAGCTAGGCACAACCAAGGCCATGGGCATAACCTGGGGAGGAATCAAGGCCAAGGGCATCTCCGAGATCCTGGCGTTGAGGGACAGGTGGGCTCCATGTTGCCCGGCAATAGCGTTGGAGATGAACTTCAGCTTCTTGTGAAGCTGTGCATAGAGCTGTTCTTTTTGTCTTCTCCTTGCATGCTCTCCCCACGCCAGTGCCCAGCACAGTTACTATGGACAAGGGAGGGACCTACCAAGTGCCTCCACCCCCCAGGGCCTGGGCTGAGCCACTGTCTCAGTGTGAGGCAGGGTGACTTTGACACCATTTCAGAGGTGAGAACACTGAGGCTCCGGAGTGGTGGTGGTAGGAGGGTAACTTGCCCAAGGTCACCCAGCAAGACAGTGGCACAGCCAGGATTCAAACCATCATCTGCACCGGGCTTTAGTTATTTACCAAAAATTAGAAGCCCCAGACTGCCACTAGAGCAGTGGTTCTCAACCTTCTGGCCCTTTAAATACAGTTCCTCATGTTGTGACCCAACCATAAAATTATTTTCGTTGCTACTTCATAACTGTAATGTTGCTACTGTTATGAATCGTAATGTAAATATCTGATATGCAGGATGGTCTTAGGCGACCCCTGTGAAAGGGTCATTCGACCGCCAAAGGGGTCGCGACCCACAGGTTGAGAACCGCTGCCCTAGAGGGACATGAGAGCGGAGGATTCCTGCCCCAGGAGGAGGGCTGGCCACCTCCTACGTGAGGAAGTGCCAGGTGGCCCCAGGCCAAAGCCCGGAGCCCATCAGCCCCACCTCTCAAACCCCCAGCAGGATACCAAGAAGCCTGCCTGGGGCCAGCTTTCCTGTGTTCACTTTGTTCTGGGCCTGCTGGCCACAAGGTTGAATGACCTGGCACTTGGCATGGAGAGAAGGAAAGGCCATGCCAAGCCTGGTTTACCTCCTGGCTCAACCCTAGATGCCCTCAGCAGGCTTCTCTCTGTCCAATTTCCCAGCCTCAGAAGCTCAGACTTCAGCTCTTCAAGACTGTTCCCCAACATGATACTACCCTCCCGTGTGGCTCTCACCTCTGAATTCTCTACCCGAGGGGGCCATCACTTCTTTGCCCCCTAGCCTCAGCACAGGGCCAGGCGCAGCGGGTACGCATGCTTGGTAGAAGCAGGCCTGTGTCCAGTACCCTCTCCACTGCCCTGGCTGCCTGCCCACCCTCTGCTGGTCAGGGGCGCTCTAGGGCTGCCTGGCTAGGGATGCCATACTCTCTTCTTCCTGCTGAGCCTCCCCTGGTTTCCCAGACACAGACTCTCCACAGTCTCAGGGCAGGAAAATGGCCGTCCCTTGTCATTCAGAATCTAGTCCTGCTCTCGACTCCTGAGCTAGCCTCTCCCCAAGGCGACTGAAAGCAGCACAACTGTCCGGGGAGGGGCGGTGCACACAGAGGGACCAGGTGTGCCGTTTTCAGGACCAGCTTAGGAGCGTGACGTCACAGACAGGGAAGATGCGTCTCTAGGGAAGCCTCTGCTGCCCACGAAACCCTGGTAGAGGCAAACTGTGAAGCACTTTGGTGAGTGGCCATGTCTCACTCACACTGTTGAGCCGTTTGCCACTGGTCCCCTTTCTTGGGCCTGGGAAAGAGCCAGTAGGTACTCCAGCTCCTAAAGAAGCCAGGTGGGCACTCCAGGTGGGCCTGGGCGGGGCGGTGAGGTTCCAGCCAGGGGCCGAGCAGCCTGGAAACCTGCTGTCATCAAAGCTAATTCTCCTGATGGGTAGCAGGACTAGAGAGGCTGAGCCCCAGGCCCACCCTAGAGGTCTGGGCTCTCTGCGAAGGTGGGAGTCCCTACCCACTATCCTCACTCCTGGCTCAGGCAGCCTGGATGGAGGAAAAGAGAACAGGTGGAGAGTCTGGAGACTGTATCCCAGTTCAGGACTTTCTCAGCGGGGGTCCCACTCCCCCTGCTCCCCCTGTGGCCACAGCCCCCCTCACAGCACTCATCGTCTGCCTCCCCCACCAGACTCCTTCCAGCAGCTGGCCCTTGAGCCTCTGAGCTCCTTGGGAGCTGGAACTGGGTCAGATTAACCTCTCCAGCCCCCGCAAACAACACAGGAAAGGCTTACTGAGCAAAAATGAACTAAACCATGGAATGACCTTCCTTTATCAGAGCCTAATCCTACTTTTCGGACAATGGGCTCCCTGCTCTACCCTTGTAGGTCACAGGGCTGCAGAGGAACCAGTGCTGCGGTCTCTGGGACGTAAACAACTGCTTCAAGGCCCCACTGGCTTCAGTGTGGACGGGTCAGGGCCACCTGCACACTCCCCCCCCCCCCGCCCCTCCCCACATCTCAGAGAAGCTCCTGAGACCCGGAGGCCCGTGAGCAGGGCCGAGAGGCAGCAGAGGGTCTGTGAAGAGCACGAACATGCTCTTCCATGAAACCCTGGCCCTGCCACTCACAGGCCGCTGCCCATCCCTGACCCTCAACCTCCTCACAGGGTGCTGGGAAGATGACATAAGACGGCGTGTGAAGAGGACTTAACACACAGTTAAATGTCCAATCAAAAGACTCATGGCCCTGGATGGGGGAAAAGGACATCTTAATTCTTACCCATCTCTTATGGAAACTCAGTATTTCCTTCATTTACAAATGTAAGAGACCACAGGAGCAGTAGCAGTGCTGTTGACAGTGACACCAATAGAAAACAAAGGTGTTTTCATCACATTTATAGCAGGTACAGATATCTTGAAAAATCACTTATTCGCATCACTACTTAAGAGTCAGAGGAATGATTAGTCCTGCTGCTAGATCTTTTTATTTACTATAATAACAAAAAGCACAGATGGGTTACTATATGTCTAATTTGATTTCTTAATGTGTGTTTACTTATATTTCAACATCCTCAGTTTTCTGTATCAGTGGCTTCCTTTTAAGTCCAATGTACTTAGTATTACACATTTAAAAGCATTGAGAGACGTTTGCAGCCTCGATCAGAATGCCAGAGGAGTCTACGCAGAAATATGGTGAAGTGGCTCTGTGCCAGAGGGAGGCCGATGGGCCACAGCAGCCTCTGCCAGCAGAGTTGGGTGGCAGCGGGAGGGAGAGGCGGGGTGCTCAGGGCAGTAATTAGCAGCATTTCAGCCAACCTGCCCATCCAACCAGGCGTGGCTCCCACCTACAGGAGGGCGTTGGGAAGATGCTGGGCCGGTTTCTGGGCTGTGGTTGGGTTTGGTGGATTGTTAACCTACAGCTCGGGGCCAGTGACGGTCGTGTGCTGCGTGGGCTGGGGTTCTACCAGCTGCTCAGTTCCCCATCAGCCACGCTCTGACCCACTACGACAGGGAAAGTGGCGGCTCCTCAGCGCAAATGGGGACTGAGGGAGCTGGTGCATCAGAGGCAGGGATCTGGGAGGCTGGGGTCCATGGTGTCTTCTCTTGGTCCCACTTCCTTCTCTTGTGATTCTGGCCAAGGCTCTGCCCCCACTGGGCCTACCTACTTCCTGCCTGAAAATGGAGGGGATACACTGCTCTCTACTCTAAGATTCTAAATAAGTAGCCGCATGCAGGCTGAGATGGGGGCTTGGGCCCCGAGGGAGCCAGTTTAATTGGTTCTATTCCCTGGACCAGTAGTTCTCTCTCTCTCTCTCTTTTTTTTTTAAATATTTTATTGGTTTTTCACAGAGAGGAAGGGAGAGGGACAGAGAGCTAGAAACATTGATGAGAGAGAAACATCGACCAGCTGCCTCCTGCACAATCCCCACTGGGGATGTGCCTGCAACCAAGGTATATGCCCTTGACCGGAATCGAACCTGGGACCCTACAGTCCGCAGGCCGACGCTCCATCCACTGAGCCGAACCGGCCAGGGCTCTTTCTCTTTTTGAGGCCATATGTCCCTGTAAGAATCTGGGGACAGCAATTGCCTTTCACCCAGAAAAATATGCACAAACTGTCACATAGAATTTTGCATTTAATGTCAGGGGTTCGTGGACCCTCTAAAGTCCACTCTTGGGTCTAAAGATGAAGACCAGCTGTTTCAGAGTCTCACTGAACCTTCGTGAGTTTCTAATCACTCACTTGTGAAGTGAGACGTCAAGGAAAGACAGAGCAGGTGCTGGTACATTGTGGGGGTTTGATACATAGCACCCCTCTGCCCTGCAAAGGGAGGGAGGGGCGGCACAGAGCTGCCTGGAAATGTGGTCTCCGAGGCCCCTGTGTCCCTGGAAGAACAGCTGCTCAGCGCTGACAGGGGAACTCCTGATCATCCCCATTAGATGGGATAGTTCTGAAGGGTGGACACCCACAGGGACTCGCCCACAGGTGCTGGAATGTACTCCATGCTGCTCTGCAGCAGGTTTGTCTGCCTGTGAGCTGGGAAAGCCACTTATTATGCTAGAGACACGGGGACCTGGGGAAGAGAAGAGGCTGCTGGGAGGGCAGGGCCTACCCCAGGCATGGGGCCTCTCCTCCGCCCACACAATCGGTGATGTCCTGCCCCTGGTCTGGATGGCAACCAGGGGGAGAGGGCATCAACCAGGACTTGCAGAAGCAGCGACCCAAGCACTGACGTGGGAGGTGTTGAGAGAGAGGAGGGAGCATTGGACGGGGCCTGCGTTCAGAGGGGGTGAGTGAGGGCCCACTGGGACCAGGCCCTGTACCAGCTGCTCTCCTTCCTTATCTTGAATCTCCACAAAAGCCATCTGAATTGGGCAGCATTTTCTGCACATTCAAAATGAGGAAACTAAGTTTCAGGCAGCTCAGAACCTGCGTAAGGGCACAGAGCTGGTTTGTGGTAAAGTCAGGGTTCAAACCCAGCATCACAGCCCCCGAAGGCAAAGCAACATACCTGCCAGAAAATGTCTGCTGGAGGCAGGGTGGCACATGGGGAAAACATAGGTTTTGGGGTCCTATAGATGTGAATTCAAATCTGTGTGACTTTGGACAAGTTACTTACCTTCTCTGAGACCTGGATTTCCCATCTGTAAAATGGGAACCAGACCACCACCTCCCACTGACTCTCACGGAGTCCTCCCACATGCCTGGGGTAGAGCACTGAATCTGGGACCCAGAAGGTGGTAAGTAGGAGGATGCTCTTTCCCCGTCCCCTGCAGAGCAGAGCTCCTGCTCTAACCTATGTGGGGAAGTGGCCCCTGCCTCCCCTCCCCCTCGAAGGCCCAGCTTACCCAGCACGAGGAAGGACAGGACCCATTGTAGCACCGAGATGACCTGTAGCTGCTTTTCCACTTTGGACCTATTGAGCCAAGTAACGGAGAAAAGATCCTGGAGGGCAGAGAGGATGCTGGAGCCGGTGCCTGCAACAGGGGGGAGACGTCAGCCTGCTGCCCCCCTTCTCTCCAGCCTCAGAGTCCCCAACACCAACCCGCCTCCCACAGGCCCCTTCCTAGATGGGAGAGGAGCACAGGCCACAAAATCACACATGAGTTGGAATTCTAGCCCTGCCACCCAGTAGCTACAAATTCTGGGCTGTTCACATGCCTCCCTGGACCCCAGTGTTTAGACAAACCCAATGGGAATGGTGTCCCCTCAGAGGGTTTTGGAGACCAAATGAGGAAGCCAACGAGGCTGGGGGAGGCTCTCCATCACTGCCGGTTCTCTTCCTTCCCTCCACCCCCATCAAACTCCTGTCCTACCCTTTATCTGGATCTAGTACAAATATTTAACCTTTGCTATCTGTCTGTGAGGCCAAGGACAGAGGTTCAACATCCAATTTGCAATGTTTTTGCCCCATCTGTACTTTGAGCACTCTGAATCCCTACCCCACCCCCTTGTCCCCAGGACTGATTCCCTTTCCAAGGAGCTGAGGCCTCTTGCCCACACCCCCAATACCACCGAGACCACCACCACTAGCACCATCAGAGGGATTTACACTTTTAGTTTCATCTCAGTGCTCAAAGCTTGGGGCCTAAAGAGGAATCAGGCCTTTGCTTTGCAAAGGACCTGCTGGCCAATGAGCTCAGGCTGCCTGGGACACTGAGGGCTGCAATTATGTTCACTACCAAGCATGTGCCAAGCCTGGAAGTTAGGGCAAGGTATGCTCACTTAATTGGCTCTGTGGCTGGGCCCCCCGGGATGATGCCTTGGACTTCAGTGATTGAGGGGCAGCCAGGCCAGAAAGCCTGGTGACTGTAAGAGAGGCGGCACTGGGGGAGAGCCTGGACGAGGTTCCTAACCCATACCCCACTCCTTCCAGCAGCTGAACCAAAGGAGTGGAACATTTCAAACCCCATGTCTGCTGAGCCCCAACTGCATGCCCCTCGCTCAGCGTATCTTCACTGAGTGCCTACTGTGTGCTAGTCAAACATTCCTTCACACCACCCACTCGGCAAGGCTCCAGGCACTACATCACAGTCTTGTCCTTGAGGCTATCATGGCCTTTCACACTGGCCTACTGCTGGGGGTGGAAGTGGGAGGGAGGGGTCTAGGGCAGTGGTCGGCAAACTGCGGCCCCTTGGGTCTGGCTCCTCCACAAAACACCACGTGTGGGCGCGCACGTACAGTGCGATTGAAACTTCGTGGCCACACTCAAAGGGCCAAAGAGCCACATGTGGCTTGCGAGCTGCGGTTTGCCAACCACGGGTCTAGGGGCTTAACTCAAGCCTTTGCATTTCCTCAAAATCTGTAGAGCAACAAGGTCACAGCAGAGTTCAGAAAGGAACATAATGCTCATCAGCTGAAAGTCAGCAATTGCTTTGACTTTTCGGTGGAACACAGGTAGCTCAAGGCAGACACACCAGTCCTGTCCTCTTTACCTGCTCTACTGGGTTAGAGGGAGGGGGCTTGGTCCAGCAGGACTCAGGTGTCAGTTCAAATCTTGGTTCCACTCACTACTGTGACCCCAGGCAAGACCATGAGGGCTCCCTGACAGGGTATGATACATGTTGAGTGCTCAGTAGCATCTAATACTCCAAAGGCATACGTGCGGTAGAGGTGGCAGTAGGTGAAATCACTGAAGCAACCAAAGAGGCTGGGCCACAGAGGCATTCCAGAGGTTGGGCCCATAACTGCTCCTTCACCCTCTCTCTATAAAAATCCCACCATCACAGGTCTTCCGCCCCCATACTTCCCTGGTGACCCATCCTGGAGACTGAGGGCCCTCGGTGTCATCTAGAAGAGCCCAGCTGGACCACCAGGGAGACTGCGGAGAGGAGCACCGACTTGCACTGGGTGATGCAGGCAGCAGAGCCCGGGTTGGAATCCAGGATTCCTGCTGCCTGCTCAGGGCACCTCCCTTTCCCCCACAGCAGGTGCCGAGTGCCCATGGGACACAGTAGGTCCAAGGGTGAGCTGTGCTCAGGACCTGGGGAGGGACGTGGGGGAGGGAAGTGAGGCCCCAGCATAGGCCTGAACCCTGGGTCCAAGGGCTGGCCTTCCAAGTCATCCCCTAGCAGCTGGCTCTGCCTCCTGAACTGGGCCAGAGGAAGTGAAGCAGGGGCGCTGGCAGCCAGGAGTAGGCTAAGGGCTGGGGAAAGTCCCCGCCCTGGGCCTGGGGCAGGCTGGGTGCTCTGGATGGAGAGAAGACAGAATGGACTCGAACACCTTCCTACTCAAAGTGTGGTCTGGGAGCTGTTTATAAATGCAGGATCTGGGGCCCCAGCCTGGATCTGCTGAATCAAAATGTGCATTTTAGCAAGATCCTCAGTCCAAAGTCTCAGGTAGGGCAGGTCTGGGGTGGGGGCAGGGGCGGAGGAAGGAGCTGGGGGCCTCTACCCTTGCTGGGGGGGGGGGGGGTCAGGGGGGAGGGCAGGCACCAGAGGGAAGGACATCAGTCATTGAGTCATTGTCTTATTTGGCCACTTCCTACTGCAAACAGGACCCCAAGGCCAACAGCTTGAGCAGTGCTTAAGGAAAGGGCTGGGGTCAAGCCCCTGCCTTTGGGTCAGGGCCACCCACCTGGCAGCACTCATCACCACCTGGCGCTCTCCTGCTTGTGGGGGAAAGAAAGATATAACAATTCCCCATTGATGACATACCCCCCATGGAAACAACTGAAAAGACCTGGTTCTGCTCAGCGTATCAGAGGTCCCTGACGATCAGATAAGGGCAGCGTGCAGGAACTAGGACCGTCTTGTCCAATCCTGACTCGGACAGGAAGAAGAGGGCCTAAGAGACTCCCCCGGCCCCCACAGCAAGTTGGCCAGAGCCAGGCTTTCCCCACACCTTCCAGTCTGTTCTCACCCAGCCTTGTCCCAACTATGGCCGACAGCCAGGTCTGCGACCAAGTGGGAAATCGAAGTCCTCTGAGGAAAGGCAGGTGTCCCTGTGGGGGTCCAGGAGGAAGCTACCACTGGGTTCCGCAGGCCTGGGCCTGCTCGGCTGCCTCCTGTCTGCAAGGGTCAGACCTGGCTGACCACAGTGCCCAGCCCCAGGTGCTGGCCTGTCCGGGCTGCTGAGCCCCGGCCCCAGTGCAAGCCCGGGGTGGGCCTAAGAAATACCGAGTCACTGCTTCTCTGTCTAGAAAGCCCCTCCTTGCCTTGTCCACCTGATGACCCCCTGACAATGAGACAAGGCAGCTCTTCTTTCTAAACCCAGATAAGGTGAGCCTTTAGAGAGAGGTCATCTTTCCTTCACTGAGATTATAAAGTCTAAGGCCCGTGCAAGCTTGGAACTGTCAGGGGCTATATTACACCCACGTCCCCCCCTCGTCCCCGCCCCCTGCCCCAGCCCCAATGGAGAGAACCTGTCTGAAGATAAAGTGAGGAGAGGCCAGCTGAATGGAGAAGTAAGACAGAGAAATGGAATCCTCCCTCTGGGCTCCACCGCCCCTCACCTTGTACTAAGTGCTGATCACAAGTCCATTCTCCTATCACACTGGGAGCTGCACAAGGGCCAGGCCTGGGTCTGATCCACATCTGGGATCCCAGGGCATGGCCAGAGTGACACTTAGAAAGGTTTGCTGAGCAAGAAGAAGAGCAGGTCTCTGTTCTGGCTGCTCCTCCGGCTCCCAGGCTCCCTCCCTGCCGTGCTGGGTGATAGGTGTGCTGCCCACATGGCCCATAAAGCTTAGGGGCCTCCAAAGCACTTCCATAGGCACTCCAACTCCTCGCCAAGCCGGGGAGTCGGGCATCATCATTCCCATTTGATGGTGATAAAATGGCTGAGGGGAGCGACAGGGCCAAGGTCATTAACTCAGAGGGTGGCAGAGTTGGACTCGATTCAGCCCCAACTTCCCGGACTGCATCCTGTCTCTGTGCTACAGGTGCCCCAAGTTCCTTCTCTCTCCTCCCCACAACTAAGTGGGGGGAGGCTGGGAGGGGACAGGGGAAATGAATGACTTGTTTTCCTTCCAAGGGCAGCCAGGAGTAGGCATCTTGTGCTGTAGGTTAAATGGCAGCGGGCTTGGGGTTCCAGTCCCAGCTCTGTCAACGATGCGTTAACGATGGCCAAGCCACTCACCTCTCTGGGCTTCAGTTCCCCATCTCTAATAGGGGGGTAGGGAGGATGAATTCTGCAGTCTCTTCACTGCTTGGACTCTGGTGTCCACCCTCCTGAGGATGCCACCCGCCCGCCCCTTGCAAGTGTCGTGGTACAGTTGCCTAGCAAAGAGGAAGTGGGCTTCAGCTGGGCACCCCCAGGCCGCGGCCAGTCCTCACCGCTCATCTATCAGCACCTCCTCTGCCCCAGCTGTGGCTGGGAGGGGTCCAGCAGAAGCTAGTTGGATGCCAATGCTGCAATCAGATGCCACCACTGCTACCTTCACACCAAGTCCTGGGTGGGGCCGGCAGGGAGCCTCAGCATCTAGCCAAGTCACAAGTCCAATCTGCTCCCTCGGCACCCCTGCCCCAGCCTCCCTCGGCACACCGCGCTCGCTCGGAACACCCTCTCAGCACGTCCACTGCAGCCGGTGTCTACTGATGTGGCCATCCTCCTCTGCCAGTGTCGCCTGAGTGCCAGGCTGGGACCTAACTCATCTGTGTGCCCAGAGCCCTGTGTAGGGCCTGTGACAGTGGAGCTCATAGAGGTTTATTACATGAATGAACTAACCCAGAGGCCCCCGAGGTGGTTGACGGCCTAGAAGCCCGAGTTAGACTGGGCTGCCTGCTCCAGCCCCATCACTGGGGGCCCTGGAGATGGGATGAAGGCAGAGAAAGTGAACTTCTCACCCTCCGTGAGCATGGGTTTTCCCACCTGTGATGGAAACAGAAGCCCTACCGAGAGAGATGTTCCTTTTTCATGGAGGGAGACAAGGCAGGCCATAGAGTAAGCTGACTATAAAGAAAAATTCCCAAGAGCCGATTCAAATAGCTGCTCCCAGGTACAGCTTATGTATGCAGCTCATATCTCCCGGCTGGGG